ACAGCGCTTGCCAACACCGTGTTTTCGGCAATAGCCACCGCCTTGCGAGCTCTTGTCACAGCCGTCGGCGCCGCAGTGCATGTCGCCGCCGTGAGACTTGCAGAGACCGGCGGTCTGAACAGTCTTAATACAGCCGTCCATCGAGCAGCGACGGCCGCCGCCGTGGGCGATGCAAAAGCCGCCTTCTGAGGCCCACGCGGACAGCCTGCAAACTCGCAGCGCTTGGTGGCACCGTGCTGACGGCAGTAGCCGCGCGTTGCTTGGGTGCGCTGGTGGCAGTCGGGCGCGAGGCAGACGTGAGGTATCTCATTAGTTGGGGAGTGGTCGAGTGGCAGGTCGCAGAACAGGAGGGCATCGAGGGGATCGTCGACGCCGTTGGGCGAGTGGGGCGGCACCTGCTTGTGCTTGGCGGACGAATACACGGCATTGGCGTCGGGTCGACCGCAGAAGGTGCGGACGATGAAGCCGGCCTCGGCTTGTGTGAAGAGCAGAGCCATTTGGTCGGGCGATGGCAAGTGCATGAATGAATGAGGGTTGTTGATTCTGATCGTGCTATCATCGGATTTTGCCGGCCAGATGTTTGAAGAGGCCCTGGGACAGCGGGTTGACAGGCTGTTTGACTGGCCAAGTGCTGAGACTTTGGCGCAATAACACGCAATTGGTCGAATATCAAGTTAACTATGATATCCAAACAAGACGATGGCTCGTGGCATCGCGAAGACAAATAATCGAAATGAGTCCCGGCGCCCAGATGGATTCGTGGCAGTGCATGATGGCACAACCACAACATGGCACTACGATCATGTTGCATCTTCACTCGCATCGTGGGGCTAACAAAACAAGAGAGCGATTGAGGTTGCTTAAAGAGTACTTGGGTGTCAATACTGACGGATTGATCGAACGTTATACGACGGTACGTTGAGCTTCCAACCGATTTCGACCTCCACAAGGTTGACGTCGCGGTGGCATGGCGACTTTGGTGGTGCGGCAATGCCACACAGAATCAAGCTCCGTACCGATGCATTGCGCCTGCACAAATCGAATGCACAACGAAGCGCAAGCGGCTCTCAGAATGGAAGTGCGTCATGAACACGTTGGTCAAGTACTACGAGACCACGATGCAGCGACCTTTGCCAAAGATTGCCTCGAGTGACGACGCGGACGCGGCGTTTGAACAAGTAAAAGGCGCCCTCGATCGTATCAGCGCCCAAACGGAGAAGAATTGCACACATCGCACATCGCAGCTGAAGATTTCCAGCATTTACAACCTCCATTATTCAAGCTCACAGGCCAAAGATGCAGTAGCTACTGCTCCGGGGCATTAAGTCGAGCTCCTCGCCCAAGGCTCGTGACACACCGGAGCTTCCAAAGGCGCACAAAAAGCAGCCACAACCGACACTCAACTCAGGTAGAGCATGCAGCTGCTCTCAGCCATTTTGCCCTACTCTCTCTCAAAGCTCAACACATGTATTTTACTCTCAAATAGCTCTCAACCAAGAGTAATTTAAGCTTGTTTTCAGTATACTATAGTAATAACCATTGAGAGTAATTTAAGCCGGCTCATTGTATTGGGCATACAAAAATGGAATAAGAGTAACTTGAGAGCTCGAGAGCTCGAGAGTAACGACGCCGTTTTATTGCCTAATTGTATGCAGTATACAGAAATGAAATGAGAGAAATCCGAGAGCTCAAGCGTTCATTGAGAGCTCGGCAGGAACACCAGCGAACATAACCTAAAGCAGCGTCGCCAAGGTGTCATGTCCCTCAAGATCCTGGACTCTGACAAGCACGGCAGCCTGCTTTTCATCAAGCGTAAGACCAGAGGTCGCAACGATCTTGCTCATGTGCAAAGCCTCGTGGTTCCGAATACCTTGAGAGACGACGGCACGCCCATCTGCACCGAAGAACCGGCCAAGATCCAGAAGGTCCGATCCAAGTACATGCAGCGCCTCTTTCAGCGCGATTCCATGTCGCAAGACCGCAACGAGCTGCGTGCTTAAGAGGCCATTGTTCAAGCCGAGGTGTGAGCATACCTGCTCCAGGAAGGTGCAAGCGATGGTGACCCGCTGGCTTGGTGGCGCCTTCACCGTCACAAGTTTCTGACCATCGCCAAGCTGGCTCGGAAATGGCTTGGCTGCTCAGCAACCTCGGCTCAACCGGAGCGCGTCTTCTCGGGTGCAGGAATAACCATGTCTGGCCGGCGTGCAGCGCTAGACCCCGACACAGTCAACGTTATCACTTTCCTCCAGGATAATGCGCGGTAATACACGAGAAGGAGCGTTTGTTTGGTGCGCACGTGGTCAAGTAGTGAGATTTCCTGTCCTTCGAGGACTCTGTGGAGCTTGCTCGTTCATCACAACGCAACGCAGCACTGTTTACACTGACCGGATAACCGTCCGGATAACTGAGAGCTCATTGAGCTCTCGTTACTCTCTCTCAGCTCTCAGCAACTCTTATTCTCTTCTCAGCTCTCAAACGCTGAGAGCTGCATTCTCTAGCTACGAGCCCATTTCCACAGGATGAGTCCATGACGACTGCGCCACTGGCAACCTCAACACACTCGGCGCTATGAACGGAAGGAGGCAGCTCGTCGCGTAGGCACTGTACTGCACGTAGTGTCATAGCACTAGCCACTGTACGTGGTTGTCCGAGATCAATCAAGCCATGGATCCGGACTAAGTAAAAACAATCAGCCACGAGAGCGACCCGAGCTCTCTCAGCAATGGAAGCATGGGTGGGAGGCCCTCGTTGTCCTAAAAGCAGCCGGTGACAACACGCCGTTGACACTCATCCTACAGACACTCACCCACAATAGAGTTGCCACTGCGCTGGATCAGTTGCCTGTCGCCGATGTATGCCGCATTATGCACTTAAGTGTGCGTAAATGAATGCTACATTCAAAATCAAGCCGGGGATTTTTGAAATATATCAACCCCTGGCAACTCCAAACGCGGCTTCGTCCTATTACATATATAGTAGAGACATATAGCTCATTTAGCGTTTAGCGGCTACTACATACTGTTTTCTAGTCGTGCCGGTGCTGTCTCGAAGGCGGTCGCCTCCCCACTGAAGATTACAACCGCGACCTTTTTCTGGCTTGTCACCAATCATTTTTGTGTTTCGTCGTCAACATGGCGATTGACTGTGAATCCGCTGCGCAGTATTCGTTCTCTGATACACGGTGCCCCTCTGCTGTATATAATTTATAGTGCATTGCACTCAACGGTATGAGTTGTGTGGCTTGGAGAGGCTGGCGCCTTGTCGTATGAGTGGCTGTATAGCTGACCAATCTTATGCCAGAGTAACCCATCTGCTAGGCGTCTTGTCGAGGCGACCGGATGAGAGGCTCAGATTCCAGCGACAGCTGCCCGCTCCGAAATGATAGGTCTGTTCGGCGCTTCGTCTTGTCGTCATCGACTTGGCACCGACGACAACGTGACGGCGCCATTAAATCAAGATGAAGTACAGGCATAGAGCGGGCTCGAAGCGTGTTGGTGCACTGAACCATTGAGATCTAACTAAGCTTACCACGCCGATGTATACAAGAGCTAAGTTCATGTCATGGTGCGGGCAGCACAACCTGCCAACAGCGGGTTGGAATATCAATATTTTAAAAAGATTCTCCGTTTTTTGCCTGGATTGGCCGGCGATGTCGGAAGATTAAAATCAAATTTGAGGTGCCAGCATCCGCCAATGAGCAACCCCACCCGAAGGATCACACCTGGAGCACTGGCTACTGGAGAGCGTGGTTCTAGCCTCGAGTAGCCACCACGACATTGCGAGCTGTCGCGCTTTCATTTTCAGATTTCGTTGGGATCACGAGCATGACCTTGGCCACCTTCACGCATGACGAAGCCAGCTTCCTGTACGCCACGCTCATGTCCGACGAGATCGACGACACATTCAGCAGCGCGCAGTTGGAAGCCTCGTTCTTCGACGAAGTGTTGACCTTGACGGACCTCCCGATGCCCACATCGCCACGTCTCTTCGAGACGCCCGTTCTCCTCACGGTCGAGACGCCATACATCTGCCTCGTCGAGGGTTGCGCCGCGTCCATTCTCTCGCCGCGCGGGTTTTGCCGCGACCACGGCAACGTCAAGCGTTGCGGCTACGCCGGCTGCTCCCGGGGACCGCAGAGCGGCGGTCTCTGCATCACGCATGGCGG